CAACCATAATCAAACTTTTAACCTTTGCCCTTGACCTACCATTTTGTATATTTAGCTGTCCATGGTATTGTGACCAAGGCATTGTACAGCTCACACTAGATTGAGGGAATCGGTTTATTTTGCTAAGCATTTTACAGTTAGATATTTATGCCTAGCTAACTTCAGATTTAGTGGACTTTGAACGCCTATAGCTCTCATTTTAGCACCAAAATTGTTTACTGACATTTTGAAACGTGTTGATTATGTCACGAGAACATTTAAACACAAAGATGAAAAAACTCACGGCCAAGTCAACAAGATGCAATTTCCCTTGTCGAAGAATTCGCTTTTCGTCTCCGAGAGGTTCGGAACATTCAATGGTTATAGAAAAAATTGCATGGGAGCGCGAACTATGTTCGTTCATATTCGTAGCTGCAGTGCAGCCTACATCAGTTAGATACTGGTGGTCATGTGTCTGATTACAATGAAAATGGTACGTTTTCACAGAGATGGTATCTTTGGTGGTCATAAATATTGCACATGGCGCCCTATCTGATCATATAGCCTCTTCGGTGTGGCTTTTGCAAAGCAAAAATAACCGCAAGTACATGGAAATATCAGAATAAGCTCCTGTAAGTGGATGCTAAACCACTAGACGCTCTCGGTAGCTATTTGCGGTTACACAAGGCAATGTAAACCAAAAATTCCAGTCTCATGGCATTTCTAGGGTTTCTCATGCCTCGATAGTTTAGAAATAGAGATATTATGAATAACTCTAATCAAAGCTTTATGAAAAATTGCTTTGAAAAGAACAACTAGCAACATCTAACTTTGAAAAAATCGCAACTAGAATTAAGACAATCGATGTTAAACCAACTCTAAGTACCCTACCACAACATAAAGTATCCAACTTTTCACTAGGAACTTATTACCAAAACAGCACTTCACTAATCAAGTGGAAAGTAAGCATAGTAGTTGGTGACTCCCAATAATGGCAGCATTAATAATATATTAAAAAATACACGAATCAGTGAAACACTGGGAAGGTAATGTTAGGATAGAACCTACGATTACGACTTCCTAGGTTCATGAGTCTCTCCATTTCATTGGGGGATTGAACCATTACGCTTGACAGATCTCTTACATAAACTCCACAGTCTGGACGCTCTCTTACTTCAAGCTTCTTTTTTTGATTTTTCACTAACAAATCCCTGATCTTTTAAATCAAAGTTCTATTGGAAAGTTAGTTACCTCTTCATTGTAGACTTCAAGGTATGATATGTGAACGAGAAATGTAGTCTTGGAATCCGCTTTTGCGATGTGCCCAAAAATATGTGCAAATGAATTTGGTATTATGCCCCTCAACTCTGGAGCTGCACGCGTGCCATCCATGGTGAAGGTTTTGCCAGTGCCAGTCTGACCATAAGCAAATATTGTTCCTGAAAATTAAAATCAAAAATTCCAAGCTCAAGCACCATTGTAGCCCCTAAAGGCCTGCTCCACAACCGGTCGAGCAACTTTATTGTATATATCGAGTTGTTTGCTCTCAAAGCCAAAAGCGTAGTCAAATGTGAATGATTTTGATGGTCCATCGACCCTTCCATTCGGATTTCTCAAAGAAACAGTAGCGGTCTCTTCATTTACCTTTAAAACATTTTGTATAGATAATGGCATACCTCCACAACAACCAAGCAATTAGTTTGTTCTTCTGCTTGATTCAGTGGACGACAACGTACGCATACTCTTACGTTCTCTGATGAGGTCATGTGCTTAGTGCACAAAACAGGTCATTAATTAGCTTCAATGTGAATAATCCATTATTACAATAAATCGGAGGCGGAATATAACTGCATGTTGCAAAAATGAGAGTCAAATACAAACCGAGTTCAAATAGTTTTATAGATTCGATTAACGCAGCTACGGAAAACACAGCAAATGTATATGTAGCAATAAAAATCAAATACAAACGAAGAACCTTAACAAGCTGACCATTTATAAAACGCTTACCCATTAGCATGATCAAAACTTGCAACTTGGCAAACACAAAAAGAAAACTTCCAAGATAAAAATTGAAATTCACAAGTATAAAACGTTCTTATAGGATAGTAGATTTCACCTGCCCAAGACGAGAAACATAACGTCAAAGATGAGAGTAGAGGAGACCTACTCCTATGGACCAACCACGTTGCAGTGTCATTAGATTTAAATGGGATCTGATTACATTAACAATTAAAACACATGAAGACAGATAATTACTCCCAAATTAAGGAAAGTAACAATAAACATAAAAAATCTAATCGTTTTTGAATTTTTTATTCAAAAGATGCACGGTTTGCATTAGCATGGCGAAAATTAACAAATTGGACACGTACATGACATTAACCGACTGTCACTAATATGGAGAGAAAAGATAGTTGTACGAATTGCCTCATTTTATTGTCTACACAATTTATCTTAATGCGGCAACCATGCTGTTTTTCTTGGCCGAAAATTACTTGCAAAACGTCTCCTTGCTACTTAACATGTCCTCAAAATATGTGCACATGGTAAAAGGTATGGTTCTAAGCCTACATTACGCAGCCCACAGCAAAAACGTATATCTAGAACTGGCAGTGGACAATGCCAAGTCTGAATGCATGAATATGTACTAGTGTGTTTAAGTTGGCCCTTATAGGAGAGAGGCAGGAAATCAATTCGAACACGGATCTAGTGCGTGAGGAGTGCGAAGGATTCTTCCCAGAGTAACATAAATTTTCCGACCCATCTATTAGTCCCATTTGTTCGTCTCATTCCCATTCCCTCTTTACAACATGCCGAATAACGTTTTTGCAACCAACCCTGTCCTGAAGTTCGAAGTTCAAGAGCATGATGGGAGATAGGCCGGTTCTGCAATGCGTACGATAGCATAAGGGCTTTTATCTTTCTTAGGATGGATATGAATTCGGGGCTAAAATACAAGTAATATTAGCTCCGATTTTAGGACAAATTAGTGAGCAACTCTGATACGGATTTAGTACAATATTTTATTAAAATCCCACACTTAAGCAAATCCGTACAAAAAATAAGCAAGTGTCAAAAGACCGATGAGCAAAGCCGTAATTAACTTGTGGCCTATTATCACATATTCAGCTCCAAACACAGAAGAAGAATGTGGAGTTTAATCGAGCAGAAGGGAAACAATTGATGAACCGTCAAAACACCTTTCCGTCAACTGGATCCAAACAAGCGTCTATGTCGCCTTTGTCCGTTTCTGCCAGAACATTACAATTGCATTCCAACTTACTTGCTTTTATCTCGGAAAACTGAAGTGTTTTGGAAGTCCACTTGCATTCCTAACCATAGTTGCCATCTCCTAGTAGAGAGAACCTCTCGATGTCACTCAAAGCACAGCTTGCGATGCCTTTCCACTAACTTTTGTGGTTCGTTTGCTTCTCATCTTCGGTTGCAGTTACTCGTTTGGCCATATTTATTTTGAAGGCCCACGCAGCAGGCCCAATTCCTTCCTTCGCCGAATACACACGCATTG